GTAGTTGAGCCACATCCATCGTTGGATATTACTAAAGGTGTTGTTTATTGCTCTACTCAATTGTTAAGAAGAGGAAATTGTGTCAGAATTGAAGGATCTAGGGGTTATTCATGTTCAAAGAATTAAGACGAGAAGAAACAACGTATTAGAAGACACAGCCAGCAACATTCCGACTTTTAATCATCCTAGGCTTCCTGAAAAATTCAAGTAGCTATGTATAACTTACAAGTGCGACCATACATCCCCACACCAGTAAGATGTTTTAGATGTCAACGTTTTGGACACGCTGCTGCAGCGTGCTCAAGTGAACAGTTATGTTTATGCGGTAAATCAATGCATGTAGGTAATCCTTGTGAACTCCCCATAACTTGTATAAACTGCGAAGGATCACACTCTGCCAAATCCAAGTTATGCCCCAAATATCAAACTGAACTGGCTAGAGGTGTAGAACATCGGAAAGAATAAGCTAGATGGAGGCTAAAAAGAAGGTAATTGCACAAACTCTTAGGCTAAATATTTCTTACCCTCAGGCGACACAAATGTCAAGTCAAACAGAACAAGATCTTATAAGGAAGATATCTCCAATTCTCGAAAACATTGTTAAAAAGTCTATATCTCAGATACTTAAGAATACTCGCCCAACACAACAGATCACACACTCCCTGGAACATTAAATCCACCACCAAAAAAAATTGTAGGAGTGGTCACTCGCTCAAGACTTGGGTCGGACGTATCAAATGTTGTGATGCAAGTCTGATATCGTCTCATACCGACGACCCAGAATCCAAAAAAGCAAGCGCGGCTGGCCGAAGGGGAGACCCCCAAAGAGGTCTGCTCCAGCTCAAACCAAGCCAGATCAAATCAACGCAAGAGCTAATACTGCTTCTTGTAGTCAACCTGATGCTTCAAACCCACAATGTGGAGACAACCAGATTTAAGCGAACCCAACTGTGATGAACCTGTGATAATACATATTTGAATTTTAATATTTGTGTAATTCTACGTTTATTCATTCAATTTTATTTAATATTGGCTTACTTGTCCATTTATTTATATATTTATTTAATATTTACTTTTATTTGGGATAGTTTCTTCATATTTCAATTGTAGGAGTTAAACTTTTTAGTATAATATGCAAAACATAATGCATTGTGTCTCATCGGAATGAACTTCGAGTGATGGTTAGGGAGAACGATCCTTTCTGTATTGCATTACAGGAAACCCACTTCCGTCCAGAGAACTCTTTCTGTCTTAGAAACTACAATACGTAGTACGTAAAGATGCCATACTAGACCACAGAGCGCAAGGTGGTGAGGCATTACTCCTAAAGCAGAATATTATAGCGCAGGAGCAGAGACTGGAACTGCAGGCTGTCGCGGTTCGCATCACAACGCCTTTTGCTGCTACACTGTGCAGCTTAAACTTACCTGATGGCGACTGGCATACTGATCAGCTGTGCAGGCTTCTATTAGAGCTTCCAAGACCAATTATTTTGATGAGCGATTTTACGCGCACTCACCTTTTTGGGGATCTATGCGCAGAGATACTCGGGGACGGACTTAGTTCTATTGAACTCAGATCTCCTACTCACTTCGACATCAGGATAGCTGGATCTGCTGCTAGAGATCTCTCACTATGCTCACCATAATTGGCGACTAGATTATTTTGGAAGGTCTTGGATGATATCAATTTTAGTGATCACTTTCCAATCATCATAACCACGGATGTTCCTAAACTTTTCCATCCGTCACATAAAAGATGGGTGACTGAGAAAGTTGATTGGAATACATTTTCTGAGCACCTTCGGATCCCTCCTCCGACTGAAGACATTAATACAGCAGTGGACGCTATAATAGATGCAGCAAAGATTAGCATTCCCATGACATCCGGGACCTCACCTAATAAAGCTATGCCGTGGTGGAATTAAAACATCTGGAATGCAATCAACGAGAAGAAAACCGACCTGAATAGATTCAAGCGCAGTCCAACCATTGCCAACATGATCTCTTTAAAAAAACTACTTACTAAAGCACGAAGGCTCATAAATGAGTGCCAAAAGAAATCATGGGAAACGTATGTCTCGTCCGTAACTTCTGAAACACTTATCAAACATATGTGGCAAAAGATCAATGTTATTTCAGGCAGGAATCCGTTTATACCCCCAAGAGCCTTGAAGGTAGCTAATCTGGTAATCGAGGATGTTTCGTACATATGCGACACGTTCGCAGACCAGCTTGAACACGCTAGCAGCAATACAAATTATGATCCCAACTTTCAAGTTGGGATCATAATATAGGTAGCACCACTTCACGGTGGATGTACTTGTAAGTCTTGAAAATGCAGGCTAGGATTCATTCATTAAAAGGCAACACCTAACGGCAGTCATGCTTGACCTGGAAAAAGCCTTCGACATGACCTGGCGTCTCGGTATTCTGAAACAGCTTGACGAAAGGGGACGTGGCAGTCTCCCAAAACTTATCCAAAATTTCTTGTCTCATCGTTCGTTCCGAGTCTAGGCTGGAGACTCCAGGTCCTCGACTAGGAGGTTGGAAAATGGCATTCCACCAGGATCCGTTCTAGCTGTCTCACTATTCATCGTAGTCATCATTAACTTCCTGGTTGATAGCACTCCTCCGAACATTCAGCCCCTTTTATATGTAGACGATCTCTGCATATTCTCCACCGCCGCACTTGATGGAAACCTTGACCATCTGCAAGAGGAAATAAATAGGCTAGACTCGATCCCAAGGAATAGAGGGTACTCCTTCTCAGCAACGAAGTCATCCATTTCTGCAGACTTCGCACCCAACAAGTCACTCTCACACTGAGAGGACAAACTATGAAAGGTGAAAACTCTGTTAAGTTCCTGGCATTATTTCCGACCACAAGCTCCACTGGAAGGATCAAATTGAATATCTCACAACTCGTTGCAGAAAATCTCTCAATCTTATCAAATGCATAGGAAATACGCGATCGGTTTGAGACCGCAAAGGTTTATAAGAGAATAATCGAGTCTCGAATTGACTATGAAAGAGTTGCTGACAATTCTGCAAGACCAACCAAGATCAAGGCGCTATCAGAGGTGAAATGCAAACTGCCATCTATATGACTAAAATAAAATTTCTTACCAGACATATCAATCTGAGTATATTGGAAATCGATAATGAACATACAAATCGTCCAACATATACACGTCCAGCCAGAATTCCAACAATCGGGCAAAATATCAATAAGGGGTGTGCTGCAGAGAGTTCCATACGACAATCCGCCTTGGACTAGGTCAAAGCCACATATTGATATTCGGCTTTCTGTATTTCTTAAAAATGATAGAGCACCCCAGTTGTAGGTGTATCTCGCTCGTTTTAAACAAATTATCGATCACCTCCACGATCATCTCTTCATATTTTATACTCGGATGGATCTGAGAGCAGTACCGGAGTAGGAGCAGCAATAGTAGTTAACAGTGCTTGCCACATGTGGAGTCTGGATCCGATTTCAAGCATTTACACTGCAGAATGTTACGCCAACTGGTAGGCTCTTCTTTTCTTTGCATTCTCAACTAGCTTAGCGTGCTCGATAGTATCAGACTCTCCGAGTGTGATCAGCTCCCCAGGAAATAACTACATCAAGGATGAAAGAATATGTCGAATTTTGAACTTAACCAGCTCACTTGAAAATGACCACAAAAAAGTCCGTTTCATATAGGTACCTAGTCACATCAATATTATTGGCAATGGATTAGCTAAAAGGCACCACAAAACAAGCATGGCAGCACGAATGGGACCTATATGACGGACACATGAGATCTGTCCAGACAAGTATAAAAAAATGGACTTAACCGAAGCAACTGAATCGTCGGCAGCATGCAGTCCTATGTCGCCTACGAATTGGCCACTGTAACTTGACCCATGCATACTTGTTGGCTGGCGATCGAAGACCACAATATCTGGTATGCCAAATAGATCTCACTGTTCAACATAACTGGTGGAATTTCGACTTTACAGTGATCTCCGCAGGGAACTACAGATGTCTTCCCATAAAAAAACGGAATGGCCAAAAGTTATGGTTTTCCTGCTACGCTCGGGTACATACATGAAGATATAGATACTCCCATTTCGTTACGCCATTACCCACTACCACATCAACATTTTCCGACGTATTCTCACCTACATCCCATCTACCTATCTGGGCTTACCTTATTATCCTTATACCATGCTGGACAGCTCTGAAAAATAAAATAGAATTCACGTGGATATCACATCATTACATGCGATCACATACTCGTATGTGTGTGTATACTTACGCTGATCAGATGCATGAATTGTCCTCAGGAACGGCAGCTGAGAGATAACTGAAGAGGCAGCTTAGCTATTGCAGATTCACAGACACACGTATGCTGATTAAATACTGAACTTGTCTGTGTCCTTATACTTAACTGTTATTTATACCGTATATGTTTGTCAACGTCTTTCTATTACCATCTCAGATCTACCCCTGGGATGTTATGTTTAAAAAAATGACCTAATGAGGCAGGAGGGTAGCGGCTAATGACCTAGAAGACGATGCCGCTGTGGGTTAAAAAAATAATAATAATAATAATAATAATAATAATAAATGGTCTTTACTCATCATTCAAGGTAACTTAAGGAAAACAAACATGCAATGATAAAATGATGAAAGACGTAGTTTAGCCTAAGCCGCTTTTCAAATAAACTCACAGCTGGGTCATCATTGTGGCTGCTAGATGCCGCCGATTCTGGTGCTATAGTAGTGTTCAAAATTTCCAGAATTTTCCAAATTTTCAATCAAAATTTAGAAAATTCAAGTTCTGAAAATTATAAATTTTGATTTTGGAAATTTAAAACATTTTTAAAATCTTCGAAAATTTTGATAAACCCTGATTTTTTGAGAATTCCGGGCATTGATCAACACTCAATCAGCACTCAGTCTTCAAGGGTCGACTACAAATTAATGTGGGTCTAAACTTTTTATATCCATACCTTATCAGGAATAACTTCGTATACTGCGAGTTCTTTTGTGCCATAAGTCCGATGACACCTGGTGTCACGAAATTAATTTCAACCAAGTCGCAGATGGAATCAACATCGAATGTCATTGCTATCAATGGATAGACGGTTTTCACTTCACTGTGATATGCGAATCCGCCATTCTTGACCAATGCTACTCCTTCCTTGGGTTCCATGAAATTAGCTTGGTCTTTTTCGTAGAACCTGGTGCTGTTGATTTGTTGGACCCACGTGTTGTTTCGTTCCTATGGAAGAAGAAAATTTTATTTCTGAGTTCTATCCAATAAAGACGAATTGACTTATAAAATGGACACACCTTGGGACCCCATCAGCTCCTATCGCTAAATCAACCTGAAATTCAGAATATAGTAACCAATTTACCTAGAAAGAGATTTTTTGTCCAGATCACACATATGCAGGAGATCAGAAGTTTCTCAACAATTTTTTTTATGAAATGTCAAGATATAAGCTTTTGTGGGTCAAAATTTCCATTTCTGAAACAAAATATGTATCTCTCTCAACAAGAGAGCCGGATTTGAGTATGCCGCCATTTTTTTGTATAAATGTTATGGTGTTCACTTGACGAGCAACGTTTAATTTTTATGACAACTCACTACAAAAATGGGGAAAATTACGCGAAAACAGTTCGCAATACTGCGCCAAATGAGTCGACAGTTCGCCGTTTAAGTACAAAATTTGAGACAAAATTCACGTTGCTGAATGTGAAGACCACTGTTCGTCGTCGTCCTGGTCGGTCCCTAGAAAATATAGTCACACTGCTAGAAAATGTGGCCGAGAATCCAGGCACTTCCATGTGGCATCGTGATGAAGAATTGAACCTTACCAGACTCACTCTGCAACGAATTTTGACAAAAGATCTGTGCTTGCATGCCTACAAGGTTCAACTGACGCAAGAACTCAAGCCAACGGACCATGCGCAGCGAAATGGATTCGTTGATCGGGCGCTGGAGCACCACCAAATTGATGCGGATTTCTCGAAGAAAATCATTTTCTCTGATGAGACACCTTTTCAACTGAACGGATACGTCAATAAACTAAACTGCCGAATTTGGGGTTCTGAAAACCCTCGTGTAATAATCGAACAACCGATGCATCCGCCGCGAGTTACCGTTTGGTGCGCATTGTGGAGTGGCGGAGTGATTGGATCCGTATTACTTAGAAAATGCAGCTGAAACTGCGGTAACTGTTAATAGTGTGCGGGAGTTTTTGTGGCCCCAGTTGGATCGAATTGATGTGGAGGATATGTTCTTCCAACAAGACGGTGCGACCTGCCTCACCGCGCGCGAAACAATGGTATTACTGCGGACCAAGTTTCCAGACCGTGTCGTCTTCCCAGTTTGGCGATCAAAATTGATCACCAAGATCGTGCGATCTAACGCCAATTGATTTCTTCCTCTTCCTGTGAAGGAATAGGTGTGTGCGAACAAGCGACAAATAGTTGAACGTCTTAAAGAAGATATACGATGCGTTATCGACGAAATAGAGCCAAAGCTGTGCAAAAACGTTATCCCGAATTTTAAGAAAAGACTGACCCTGAGCCAGAGGTATCGTGGTGGCCATTTACCGTATGTCCTATTTAATGTTTAATCGCAACTATCCCTCTTTATGTTGAAATATAAATACTCGCTTAATTCGAAAAGAAATTGTTTTTCTTGAAAATCAAATCCGGCGCTCTTACTGAGACACCCTTTACACTACAATAAAGATCCTCTACGTTTTTTCGATACCCCGATGATTCTTAAAGTATAAGTAGCGAAACTTAGGAATTCGTGTGAAAACAGTCGCGCAGCGTAATCCACGCGCTACGTATGGTATTTTAACGTCAACAGAACTCTGTAAGTCATTATCTATGACCAAAAATATCATTTTGAAATGTATCCATTTTTTACCGCCATGCCTAAGTATGGAAAATGTAATATTTTCAGATAATTTCTGATTCTTCATCATGAAAATGCCAGTCACTCACTTTCAGTCGGTCTATTTGTAATTTTACCACTGCGTAGCGTCGCCTCAGCAACCATTGCAACGATTTTAATGGAAAAGGAGTAATGCCATAAATCGCTGAAACGGTTACTGCAATTTCGCAATAACAAAATCGCCAAACGACAGACTGATGGAGGTGAGCTTGATCTTCATGATGAAAACATCACAAATTATCAAAAAATATTACGTTTTCCATAGTGACACGTGATAGTAAAAAAAGTAATTCACTTTGAAATGACATTCTTGCACATAGAGAATGACTTATGGACGTATCCCCACGTGAAAATATATATGCTATCACGTAGAAAACATACATGGCGTGGGGAGTATGCCGCGCGGCTCTTTTCATATTGTAAAGTCCTCGTAAAGCTAGGCAGCCAGTTACGCGACTGTGTGAGCGTTTGCGGCGCTGTCTAAAAGGGTTTAGTTTATCCGAAAAACGCTAGAACATTTATCGAATTGTGGATAAATACCCTTCCAGATGACGGAAGCAGTTAGTCCCAGTCGACACATCAAGCAACGCCGAATGCCCTGGTCCAGTCAACATGCTTTAAATTGTCATAAATTACCTAATACAAGTGTTATAAATAAGTGTAAAACTAATAAATTGGATTGGATAGTAACAACTCTGCTCAACTTTCCTTCGTATAATCCAGGTGGAAATATCATTACATGTATATTTCCCCTTTAATTTTCTTATAGAAGCAATTTGATAAAGATTTTGATTTCCTACAAAATATTTTCCGTTACTTTTTCACATAGGATCGAAGGTTTTCGAGATTTTTAATCAAATGCGTTTTTCAAAATCGCAGCAAATGCTCCAGCCCAATTTGAACATATCATTACTAAGCAATAATCTAACGATACCACCAGAAAAAAAATTGTCGCAAAAATTGAAGAATTTCGTTGTAGGAGTAGTAGTAGTAGCATATGCGCAACGTACAGAGAAAAGCCAGGCCCTGCCTATAAAATAGCGGACAACATTTTGAACATCTGCTATGATTTACTTCTGCTTCTTACCAACAATAAAATTTGTATTTTGGGTTTAGGTTTCACCATACCTTTGGATTTTCTTATAATTATCATCCAACACCAAATTCATGACCAACTAAGGAATTACGTCATTGAATTTTGGACAGAAAGATCCATTTAGATGTACTAAATTCCAATATAGCGTACAGACGAAAAAACAAAGTTGGTGATGGGAGTCGAAAGAGAAATTGAAATTTGACTGGGCCATTTTATAAATGATAATAATTAACAATGGCTACATTAATTTTATTTGGAAATCTCCAGAAAAAATAAAAGTGATTTTGGGATAAATCTGGTATGCGAAACAAACGACTATCTGATAATTAACTAAAGTTTAGCAATATCATTGTACGACGAATTATACATTTTTGGTTTTAGTTCTTTCTGTTACGTATCTTTCTGGATGTGCTCAAATAACTTTGAACAGTAATATTTGACAAACCTTAAAAAAATTAAGTAATGAAGGATATCTACCTGTGTTATAAATAGTGTAGTGTATGGTTGATCTTCGGAGCCTAGCCTCAATTTGGTTTCATACAATTCCTTCAGATTAGTGGGTGTCCAAGGTTTTGAGTTAAGCAATGAAGACACTAAACTAGATGAGTAATAGTTGTAAAGTAGGGTAGACAGAATCAACAAGGTGAAATAGATAAATCTGCCTCCTAAGCGGTGCGGAAACAATGAAGACCCTAAAAAATGATTCGAAAATCAACTATGTATTACTAAATACTCTGAGCGTTCTGAATATCTAAACATTCGATGTTCATTTTCCAATCTGGCAAATAATCGTATTTTATAAGATTTAAGGATTTCTAAGATGATCTAACATTCCTGAAACCTCTGGAGGTAATTTTTTTCAAATTGCAAAATTATCTTTTCTATTTTTTCCAACATTGAAAGCTTTCAGTATTATTCTGGATTCCTAAAATACTGAACTGCATAAAATCTGCGAAAATTTCGAAATCTACAACTTCCAGATAGATATTTATTTTCCGTAACTCTACATATAGCCGAATCGAGCTTAGCTCTTCATGGTTTTTGGTGGTTACGTCAAAGGTCGCGTACGAAATAAATAAACATATCGTCCTAAGGCCAGTCTAGATATGTCGCGACTATTGGTTTGTTCGTACAGTAGTCGATAAGTTGTCGGTGACTGTCAAAATCAGAATTAGAAAGATGTTACCTGTTCGTACAGTTTCTGTTTGCCGACAGCTAGTCCGCTGTTCGTACAGAACCCTCTGACAGTTCAGAGAATGTCAGTCAATCAGTGACAGTGACAGCTATCAGGATGAGTCGAAACTATCTTGAGGACTAACATTGCTTCGCAAAAGACATTTACTGATCGATGATTCTTCTTTAACGGACGCTCTGGGACACCTTCTACCGCTAAGCTAAAGGCTTTGCTCCTAAAAGCTCTCCTGGATGATGCCGCCGCACGATGCCCCGTCAGATAGACTCGCCTGTCTTCGGCCTCCCATCCTAAAGGAGTCGAACTTCGTACATACAGAACTAACCGGTACGACCGCTCCTATGTCCCTAGTGTAATGAGATTGTGGGGGGATAAGGAGGCTTTTCCCAGTTCTACCAATCTTAGGCAGCTTAAAAATCGGATCAACAGAGTATCTTTAAGCTCCTCATAGCAGTCTCGCTGCCCTGGCATTTAGTCTTTACCTGCGCGGCTGCTTCGGAGCAAAAAAAAACTATGAGCGATATAATAAGCAGCGAACACGCGGGAATGTACGAATTTTCTTCGAAAGAGAGAATTAAACCCAGAAATCTGAATTTTGTAGAGAACAACGCCACAATTCTACAGCAACGAGTTTTTGTAACATTTTCGAGAGAGCAAGACAGTCGCAGACAAAATTTCAGTGAAATTCCGTAGTAGTAACCATTTTAAATATGAGGCAGCGCCACATGGAAAACTAACTCCGTATAATGAAACCTGTATACTTTTAAGGTTTGCTGGATATCAAACAGCCATCTTCAGGGCTGTAGCTGATAGGTTCAATGTTTCCGTGAGTACCCTGCATGCAGATGTATCCAGATTGACCAAATTTTTGAGGACTATAGGGTCTAATATAAAATAATCTGTTTTCAAAATATGTATATGTATTCATATTTGATGCAATCTCAAATCACTTTAAGCTATCAAGGTGATTCGTGCTCAATATTTTGTTTATTGGCCCTGTAATGGCCCTGGAGCTAGAATATACATACTGTTGGTGTATATGCTTTAAGACTGGGAGACAGCTGTTAGGAAACAAAAACCTTACTATTCTAGTTTTATAAAGACATATTTACAATACATTTTTCATGCATAATCATCGCAGACGTTTATTCAGAATTCTTACTTTCTGCTTCTTCAACTTGTCATTCGATGACTGGAATCACATTCGTCCGAATTTATGTCCATACTTTTTAAATGAGAGTTGAATGAAAATTATTGAGTAAATCTACGTGACATTTTTTGGTGCTGTTAAAATTGAACCACTTCCGGGTAATTGGACGATAAATCTTAGATCACTCTGATTTACAGACCTCATGCTGGAAGACGTTATATTCGATTAATGATTGTACTTGATTTCGGGCGCTGAAAATTTACTGGATAATAATCTGCTGACTAATTTGTCAGTCATCAAACAGTCAGAAGTTTCTGTACGAACAGTGGACCAGTTGTGAGTAATCGGTCCAAGCTCACTCAGCCAACTCGTAACGTTCTCGTGTACGCAATCTATACAGTCAGTGACAGCTAACTGAATAAGCTAGGTCATGATTTGTCGCCGACTATCAGTTTGCTGACTGTCAGCCAACAGGCTGTACGAACAAACCATATGTCAAATAGACAGAGGGTTTAACGAATAAGCAATTTGAGGTTAGAAAACTTTTGAATTTTATGATGACGTACTTTTTCAATTGCTAGACTGAGTCGTGTAGAATTCCGGACAGGGCCCTAAAAGTTAAATTGGTATGCGATAACTTACAGGTTTTGAGAATAGCTTGTGATTTTTATAACTTTATTGAATGAAAAATATATTTAGTAGGTTGCAAATGGTTGATAAATATCTCCACCATGAGTAAATGTCCAAAGAAAAGTAAATTTGAACAAATGCGTTCACTACAAGTGAATTCATCCAAAATGACCGCTAGATGCCGCCGATGGCACTTTGTGCTGTCTTATTTCTATACAGCTTATATTCTGAATAGAGGATATATGTTCAGCTTTTGTTCGTTGTCCTACCCGAGACCAAGATTAGACCATGCTGATGAGTTGCCAGAAAGCACGAAACAGTGGTATGTGATTACATCTTAGATAACAATCAGCTATAAAACTCTCCTGTGAGTGTCAAAAACGGCAGCCATTTCGGCGGAGAAAATCGTATGCAAATTTCCCTAGTACAACGATGAAAAAGGTTTTAGTGCTCATCAGCAGCCGGTGTTGCCACGTACCCTGCCAGCGGCAGCAGATGTTCTTTGCGTTCGTAAAACGGTAATATTTCGATATGATCTAATATAGTTTGTGTGAATCAATAATGAAAAGGAGTATCTTTCTCCAAAAAGAAGCGACGGATGACTATTTATTTATGACAAAGCTTCAAAATAAATTTGTAATGGTGGAAGTGTTCCACAAAAAATGAAAAAATACTTTTACTACTATTCTAAGCTGCTACGATATAATCAATCCATTGCATTTTCAATGGAAGTGGTGCTAAAAATACCAGACAAATAGAACCTTCAATCAATTACAAGAATTTCGGTATATTTGTCACGGAAAAATGAGAGCCCATGAGCATTTAAATGAGAGATTTAAGAAACATTGTTCATCAGTAAAACTAATCCATTTTGCACGAATATTTTTTTGCTATTCGCTCATTCTAAACAAATTCATTTAAAAAAACTGTGTTGTCATGTAATTATTATGATTCACCTTGTGGGGAGTGGCATATTGTCCAAGTAAGGAGCGTATAATTGCCTATAATTTGTATAACCGACCGCTTAAACATCAAAAACTCGTCGTGAATGGAGAAGCATCCTAGCTAGGGAGCTGTCAGAAGTGTCAGGTTTGATTCCGATCTTTCAACAGTGTTTACGTTGAAAACGAAATGGATTGAGAATATCGCAGCAGCAAAAGTAAATATTTTTCTGTCTATACTTCCTCCAATACAAATTTGTTTTAAAACTCTTTCATAAATAAATAGTCAATCAATATTTCGTCGCTTCTTCTTGGACAAACATATTCCTTTTCATTATTGGTTTACACAAACTACACTAGAACAAATCAAAATATTATCATTTTACGATTGCAATCTTGCATGTGCGACCGCTGGCAGGGCACGTGGCAACACCGGCTGCTGCTGAGCACTAAAACCTCTTTCATTGTTGTATTGCGGGAATTTACATTCGACATTCTCGGTCAAAATGGCGGCCCTTTTTGACAGTGACAGGAGAGTTTCATAGCTGATTGTTGTCTAGTCTGTGTGTTAGTATGATAGTTTGTTTAATGATGGGTAGGCCGTATCTGTTATGCCACCATAATCGGCGGCATCTATCGGCCAAAGTAAGCTTTCACTCTCGCAGTGGTCTATTCTGGTAATAGATGGCATTTAGGGCTCTCTCATTTAGAATATTCTTCAATTTTGTCTATTTGTTCACAAACCTTGCTGGGTAAACACAGAAATGGTAATAACGATAGAAGTGAAGTAACTATAGTTGATTCTGGCTCTCAAAAAGCGGTACTCAATCCAGTAGGCCATTTTTATAGCTGAGCACATGACAAAAGCTGCTGCGCAGGTTGAGTACCAAGTAGATGTTGAGAAAGGTCGCAACACTTCAACACCTGGTTTCACACTACCTGGGTTTTTGAAGATGAAGCAGGTCCTAGAAATGATTAATTTCTGTTGGAGTTCAAATCAGTGTATTGAAAAAAACAAAATTGTTTTTGACTGCACTTTCAAATTATTAGGAACTTGAGAATTATTCAAAAAATGTTTTTTGACTATTTTATGCCTTACGTTTGACAGTTTTGATACTTATTCTACTCCATGAATTTTGTATATATAATTTCAACAATATGACGCAAAGCAATTATTCTCTGAAATCGTGCAAGATCTTTCTCTCTTGTTTTTTTGATTCCCTTGGCTTGGACAGTCAAAATATTATGGACGGATTTAAATTGCTTAAACATTTTTCCACGACCACTGTTTTGACGTTTTTTATTTTTAACTTTTTGGTCACTTTAGTGCGTAGTCCAAAATATCGTTCAATAACTTTGAAATTGGATATCTATTTCACTTATTGCTAATAACACTTAGCATGTCCCTGCAGCTTGTTAGAACGTTAATTTAACTTATATTAACGAGTCGGAAGCACCAAGTCTACGTACTTGTTTAGATTTTTTTCACGGATTTTAGTATACAGCTCTGTTTCATTTTAATGGAAAGCTATTTTCCACTAAACCAGAAGAAATGGGTCTTTCTGCATTTTCGAGTTATCTCTAATAATTTCAATTTCGTCAGTTAGGGTCAGTCTGTCTAGATAACATGCCAAATACACCAGCGATTGGCCAAATAAGCAATTTGAGATTAAAAACAAATCAAGATAAGATTTCTCTTTTGTTACAAAACTAAATCATGCAATATTCTGTGTAGAGACCTAAAAATTAAATAGCTATGTGATAACACTGAGAGCTTACATGTTTTTGTGAATATCTTTTGTTTTCAGAAACCGAAGAGCACTTGCAAAAATCGCAATTCACAACTTGATGAAAACAGAAGTAATTCTTAAAACCTCTACGATATCACACAGCTATTTAACTTAAGAACTGTTTATTAAATGCTTAATTATTTTTTCTCCTGTTTCAATTATATACTAAGTGACATATAAATCCGAACACCCAGTTTAAATGGTTTTATTTTAATAAAAGTTGGTGAATGTATTTATCTTACTGTAAATAACAAGTGAAAAAATGTTCAGCCTTATCAGTTGGACATTCCGGTTTTTATACTGCTTTTTTTTAATTCACTAACGCTCTAAAAATGAATATTTCAGCCGCAGTAAAGAATCAACGTTGGCGGATTTTGGTTCTTGACATCCTTTACGATCGGTTACTATGCCTACAGTACGGAGACCTGTACGATTTCGTCAACTTAGTGAGTTTGATAGGGGCCGTATAGTGGGACTTCGGGAAGCTGGACTTTCTTTTCGGGCAATTGCAGTTAGAGTGCAAAGACGTGTAGACTGTAGTTAGGTGTTGTCAGGCATGGCTTCGAGAAGGCCGTATGCAAAGAGCAAGGGGCACTGGATGCCGCCGTAGAACAACAGACCGTGAAGATCGCCGCCTAAGATTATTGGCCTTAAGGGACCGTTTCTCCACTACCAGGTCCATTGCAAATGAATGGTTTGCAGTACACGGAAGACCTATTGGCATGCGAAGTGTTTACCGACGAATGAGAAGTTTTGGCTTGTTTTCATACCGGCCACACTGGGTCCTCCCTTTAACTCGAGAACACCAACGTAATCGCCTTGAGTGGTGCAGACAACGGTCACTCTGGGATCAGGAATGGAACAGTATTGTCTTTAGTGACGAGTCTCGATTTTGTTTAGGCATGCACGATGGCCGTGCCAGGGTTAGAAGGCGACGTGGTGAAAGGAGGAATCCACAGTTTTTTGTTGAAAGACATTTTCATCACACTGTTGGAGTTATGGTTTGGGGTGCTATAGCTTATGGTTCCAGGTCACCTTTAATCTTCATCAGAGGTAACATGAACGCGCAGCGTTATATCCACGAAGTTCTAGAACCCCATCTTTTACCCTATCTTGACACCTTGGCAGATCCAACTTTCCAACAAGATAATGCCCGACCACATGTTGCAAGAGTCACAATAGACTTCTTTCAACATAATGATGTCACATTGTTACCATGGCCACCAAGATCTCCCGACTTATCCCCAATTGAGCACGTGTGGGATATGATGGGTAGGAGATTGCTCAATTTGCAACGTCCTCCTCAGACTCTAGAAGCACTTCGAGAGGAGTTGGTGGTTGCCTGGAATACCACAGGAGGACATTGACCAACTGATCAGAAGCATGCCTAGGCGCGTTGGAGAATGCGTAGCACATCAGGGTGCATCCACACATTATTAAAGGTCAAAGGGCTTTAAAGCAGTGCAATCATTTTGAAATTTTTATCATTTACTTATTATGCTTCATTAAGTACTTATACAAAATTTTATTAAAATAAAACTATTTAAACTGGGTTTTCGGATTTATATGTCACTTAGAATATGTATGCTTCTTGTATTTTTCCGAACTGCCGGATTGTTTGGCTAATTAGGTCCTTTAGGTTTGGTTTTAGGTTTAGGTAGTAATGAGTTATATGGCAAGGTTAAATATGAATGACTTTTGAGCAGAATTTGCCATTTGTAACTCTACTTTATGAATGTGTTGCAATCTAGATTGAACTGAATCGAATGGAGTAGTTCAAAATTAGTACTTGTGAAACTAGAGAAGTTTGACTCTGAAAACTCTTACAACACATTGTATCTTGCTAAAATCTTAGTACTTATGTTTATAGAAGTTGACACATTGTCTATGCATATAGTTTCATCTCATCTAAATCATTCCAGTAATTAAAAAGAATATGAAAATGAAAACCAAGTAAGCTATGAAATTTTGGATATATTTAACCATTGTAGTTCTTTCAGCATAAAATTTATTCTAGTATATTTATTTTTATTTAAGATGATTCTCATAGCTTTATTATGTAATAATATATAACAAAATAGTCCAACAGTATAACAAATGAGGAAGAATGATAGTGTTGTACACAATTTTTTTAGAATAAACGCTCAGGCTATGCGAAATTCTATGTATATGTATATACAGGGTGTTTCAGTTTATTGTTGCATAACTTTTAAGATTCGATAGAACTTTTAAAATTAATGCATAAAGTCTATATAAACATGGGTCGAAAAATGCGTGGCTTCCGAAATATAGGGTGTTTAAATTAACTTTCTAAAATCGTTTTTTTAAATATTTCGAACAATATTAGATTGAAAATTGGTATACAAGGGTTTTTTGGTACGACAAAACGAACCATGGGCATAGTTTTACTGTAGCCTCTAGAGGGCGCTCTCTACTGTACCTGTAGTGTATTAAAATGACCGAAAAAAATTTCTTAGTGCAATTTTTTGCTTTTTGAATACAAAAACTGATTCTTCGCACTTTTCAACATAAAAAAGCTAACCTGTAAGTTTTCGTTATAGTTAGCCGTTTTTGAGATATTTCGATTTTTAAGGTTCGATGCATTTTCAATTATTTATGGGAAAATAATATTTTTTTTAGATTTACGATTTGGGCATTGCAAGTAATTAAGATGATCGTTTAGATTGTGTTTTTAAACACAGCAATAATTCCTAACTCCAAATAAACACAAAAAAAGAATACTAATTTGATTAATTTTCCAATATTATTTTTAACAAATTAAATTAATTATTTACAACTAAATTGCTATTGAACAGTTAGGACAAACATACAAAATCTAAAGTAGTTGCTCGAAATGTAAACCCAATTGTTCAATACACAATTCACATCTACGAATGATCGACCGTGGTATAGCATTATTCAAATAAGGCCTTATTTCATCACATGCATTCCTGATTCTGTCTATTAGCATATCTCTTGTGGTTACGGGAGTCTGGTACACTTTTTCTTTTAGAAATCCCCACACAAAGAAATCTAATGGATTTAGGTCAGGGGATCGTGGAGGCCAGGCGACTGGTCCTCCACGGCCGATCCATCTTTCTGGATAATTTTCGTCCAGCCAGTTTCTAACTATTCTCGAATAATGAGCTGGACAACCATCAAGCTGGAACCAGGCCAATCTTTTTAAATCTAACATAACACCATCCCACATGTTTGCATGTTCAGCCTTTAAAAAGTCGCAGCATTTAACCTTGCAGGCAAAAGGTAGGGTCCAAATAGTCGATTACGGTAGATACCAATCCACATGTTCACACTAAATTCATGCTGAAAATTTCTTTCCCGAACTGCATGCGGATTTTCATGCGACCAAATATGTTGATTATGAAAATTTAGCACTCCACGTCTAGTGAAGCATGACTCGTCGGTCCATAAAACGTTACTTAAAAACTCCCTATTATTATCAGTTCTATCAAGAATCCACTGACAAAATATGATTCTTCGTTCTCCGTCCCCTGGCTGTAGTCCTTGCACAGGTTGCAAATGGTAAGGACGTCTTTCTAAGACCAAGGTGAACATGGCTTGCTGAAATTCCCAATTCACCAGAAACTCTCCTAACACTTGTGGTCGGATCTCTTTCAAACTCACGCAGAATCATACGGGTAAATCTGCGCTGACGAACATTTATGTTTTGATCCCTTTGGAGATTTCCAAAACCATTTTCAATTATTTGGCGATGCACTCTTACAAATACTGAGTGAGTTGGATGTCGTCTGTTTGGAAATCTTCGTGCGTACTCTCTGGCTGCTTCTGCTGCGTTTCCATTTACAAAGCCATACACAAAAAGAATATCCGCTAACTCTTGATTGGAGAATAAAAATGGCATTTTTATAAAACTAACAAAAAAACAGGTAAAAGAAACTAAATTTCGTGCATTCACAATTGCAAAAAACATTTCAGGTTTCAACAGACAACAAAACTAACTGTCAACTAATTGACGTTTAACCTTATTCTGCTTTCAATTTGAAAAATTTTTGCAGGCACAGCCTACTTCTAAAAATTATCGAGATACTGACTTTGTAACGTTATTTTATCATAAATAATTAAAAATGCATCGAACCTTAAAAATCGAAATATCTCAAAAACGGCTAACTATAACGAAAATTCACAGGATAGCT